TTATGTACAGGTAAGGACTTCTATCGGATAATTACTAGGAGTGTCTTTTATATGAAGAATTTGGTTATTTGACATGTTTATTACTTTGCAGCACACTTTGACGTTATGGAGAATAACCTGAACATAGAGCATGATTCTTTAGTTGCAAAATTGAGACTTGACCCAAAAAAGGATAGTGGTTTTGTTCCATTACCTGGTCCTCTTCTGCGTAAATACATTGCCTATGCGAGAGCTTACGTATTTCCAAGGTGGTCCAACACTTCTGAAATTAGGATAATTTGGGAACTTCTTTTTTGAATGCTTCATTCATATTTTCTTTATATTGGGTAAGGATGACAGAACCTGCAGCGGCTACCTTGAAGGCATTTTACCTGAGACTAAGAGATCGTAGCACATCTGCTGATAGTACACCTATAACAGCTAGGCAATTGGAAAGTTTGGTAAGGTTGGCTGAAGCTCGAGCTAGGGTTGATCTAAGAGAACAAATAACTGAGCAGGACGCTTTGGTGAGTTCACCATTCATGCAGTATATGTTGAAATCTTGTCATTTGTTTTCTATAATTGTGAGCTATATAATCATTTTAGACAATCAAGTTACTCCATCTGCATTAAACTTGTAATATTAGCAATTGATACTTGTATTCTATGTGTTTTGTGATACTGATTCTTTCTGTATCTTAATGACTGTACTCTGCAGGATGTTGTTGAACTAATGAAGGAGTCTTTGTATGATAAGTACGTTGATGAGCATGGCTTTGTGGATTTTGGGCGTAGTGGGGGGATGAGTAAAGAAAAAGAGAAGAAGAGATTTTTGGGTGCCCTAAATAAGCAGTCAGAATTGCATCAAAAGGATATCTTTTCAATATCTGTAAGCATATATACAACTAAACTTTCCTAAATGAGTATTTGCTTCCAAAAGATTCAAGTTTGCCTCACTTGTTCTTCATTACTCTCTTCAGGAATTATATAGTTTGGCAGATACCATCGGCTTAAGGGTTCCAGATATTGATACATTTTTGGATACACTTAATAGTGCAGGTTATTTACTAAAGAAGGGCCCAAAGAGATATCAGGCATGCCTTTTACTAACTTCATCATTTTGCATGTCAAAACACCCTTAAACCTGTATACGCCATTTCAGATTATAACTGAATTTTGGCATTTGAATTAAACAATTATTTTCATTAAAGAAAAATTCACTGGCTAAACTCTATCTCTTGGTTAACAATATGGGACAAAATGTGAACCAGATACAATGACAGGATAAAGTAATAAAAGTCCTAAATGTCTATCATGCAGGTGGTATCATCATCTTATTCAAGAAGTCAATCATCAAGGGGATAGTTTCACATCACTGGTAATAAGCTTTAGAAACATCATTTTGCCTCTTTTTTAAAAAAATGTTTCTAGTCTTTACTCCCTTTTAATACAGCGTCTCATAAAAAGTAGGAATGATTCAATACCTACAAGCACTTTTGTTCTTGTTCATTGTTATATGAACAATTATCTCCTATTAACCACTTCCAAAAGTTTGCAGATGTTTTGTGATTATCTGTGGGAGTTTACAGTTTATCTATCAAATTCCTGGTCTGTCTTTATGCCATGCTGTTAATCACGTACAAAACTTTGCAGGTTACTGATGATTAGCTATGGAAGTTTACAGATTAGCTCTAGTTCTATCAAATCCCAGTATGTCTTTATGCCATGCGTCTTTGTGGATACAGTAAGAGAGATAGAGAGATATGTGTATATTCAATTTAATGTTTTGCAACTTTACAAGTGGAACTCAAGGCCTGTATATATTTAATTTGATACATGATCATGGTACAATCTTATAAATTTATTTTTCAGTGTCATCTCTTTTTCTCAACACTACTATTTTGTGGCATGTCTTTAGGCAGTGCCAGAAGTATATTCATCTTCTTCGGATACAGAATCAAGGCGCCATTCACTTCCATAGTAAGAATTGGGCAATCCCAACCAAAACTTGAAAGCCTCTGCTGCTCTTTTCCTCTCCCTTCTTCGATCCTGCCTGGCTCTTGAAGCATGCTTGCTTGTGAACATCCTTGAGTGCATCTCCACGTAAATCCTTTTATACTTTGTCTTGTTTGGTGATATTCCATGCTCCTCCATGCAAGCAATGATCTCCAAAGCTCTCTTGAAAAATGCAGCCCTGACACATATATCAGCCAGAGTATCTAAAAGTCCTTCATCGGGTATCAGTGGCGGGAGGGCTGGAGAAGAATCAGGTTCCACTCCCTTTCCTATTCCACATCTCTCCTTTATTTCACTCCATAGTAGTAGTGCTTCTCCTGGCTTCCTAGCTAATGCAATTCCATTTGCTAAACTCCCATAGGTAGCCACGTTCGGAAAAGTTCCACTCTCTTTCATCCTCTGAATTATAGACTTGGCCTCATCAATCTTCCCCAGCTTACAATACCCCTCAACCAACATATTCCAAGCAGCCAAATCAACCCTGATTCGAGGATCCTTTAGCATTTCGTCAAATACCTTGTTCGCTATCTTTGGTTGGCCAGACAAAGCAAAAGCTTTCATCAACGTTGTGTAACTGATTTTATTAGGTGCAATGCCTGCTGCTCGCATCTCATTGAAATAGGAAAGTGCCCCCGCGCTGTCATCAACCAAAATACAGCCATCAATGAGAGTATTATAAGAAACTACATCCGGTTTTATTCCTGCACCATTTACCATCTCTAGCATCACCTCTTCTGCCTTGTCTATCTGCAATTTCTGGCAATACCCTTTCATAAGAATATTGTAAGTGATTCTGTTGGCAGGAACCCCGACTGTGAGCATCTCAGCTAGCATTTCTCGTGCTTGTTCCATTGATCCTTGCTGCACAAATGCAGAAATAACAGTTGTATAGCTCACATGATCTGGATGGCTTTCAGTATCTTCCTGATGCCTCATTGCCTGGAGCATCCTTACTGTATCAGTTACCCGGCCTGCCTTCATGTAACCTTTCATCAAGGTCGTATACATCCTCGAATTGGGTTCAAACACTCGAGGTAAATCTGGCGGTTCTCTGTCTCTTGAATTTACAGAATTTGGAAGCAACTTTTCAAATACATCGCTCTTATTATCTGCACTTGTCTCTTCCAAAGTTGAGTCCCTTAGAATCTTGCACAGATCTCTCCTCCCTTCTCTCATAGCCTGAACTAGTTTTTCAGCAGTGTCCAAATCACCAAACCCAACATAAGCTGCGACGAGGGATTGGAGTGTTGTCATACACACAGCGATTCCCTTTTCGATTATCCTCTCCAGTACAAACACAAGCAAATCTTTCCTTTCAGCTCTAGCGCAAAGCTTGATCATCACATTGTATGTCAAAACATCTGGCGCGCAGCCAAATTCAGTCATTTCGTCGAACAGTTGGAGGAATTTCCGAGTGTAACCGAGATTTGCACAGGCGTTTAGCACGGCGTTGTAGGCAGCTGTGTCCGGCCTCGAGTTATTAACCACCGCGGGGTCCGAAATCCGGCGGACCTTTCCGGTGACCAAAGTGAAGAGCGATAAGGCCTCGGTGGGGCCATCATCTCCGGAGTTAGAAAGGCGGCTGATGACGGCGCTCCAGGCCTTGACGTGGGGGAGGTAACCGGATTTGAGCATGGACTTGATAATGGAGGTGGCGTAGAGGATTTGGCCGGCTTTAGCTGCGGCGACGGCGAGGAGGCCGAAGGAATTGGCGTCGAGGCGGTGGAGCTGGCGATCATTGCGGAGACGGCGGACAATGGACTGGGCGCGCGTGAGGGCAACGTGGGTGTTCTGATAGGATAATTGTGAAACTAAACGGCTAAGGCATGTGGGGTTGGGAAGTTGGTCAGATTGAGTGTACGCCAACCATGCCTCTTCGGTTTTCTTCTCCTGGAGAAGTGTGAGGAGAGCCTGCTCTTGAGGATTAGCTAGTTGCTGGGGCGTAGTGATAACTAGAGAGGTAGCGGTGGAGGGCTTACCGGCGGTTTGAACATGAACTGAGTGGGTAACTCTGGGGTTACCGGCGGCGGAAGTGGAGGAAGCAAATGGTGAGGAAAGCCAGCGGAGAGAGAAGCTATGGGTTGATGGAAATGGGGAGAAGAATGTTGAAGGAGGTTTAGTAGTGTTCATGGCTGGTCCATCTGGGGTTGTGTCGTGTGGAAGAAAGTCGCAAAATATTGTATGCACTGCTTAATTCTTGGACCTGGGGGGGTGGGGGGGTGGGGGGGGGGGTGTTCAGATATTTCATTGGCGATAAGCTGCTTTTTTTCTTTTTTCTTTTTTCTTTTTGAACACTGTTTTTATTTTATTGTTGATTTACAACGGGTTAGGTTGGATTTGGGTGGAGAAGGAATGTACTACGTCGAGTACATTCCTCCCTCTTGTTTGGATGGTGGCACCATTTTTCCTTTTTCTTTTGCCAAAATAAATAAATACTTTGTTCTTATTATAATTAGATTAGGAAGACTTAGGTTCCGTTTAATAAAATAATTAGTCTACTAGTTAATTTTAATTTATTAAACAATTAATTCTAGTGATTAATTAATTAACTTTTTTAACAATTTATTCTTTTAAAATTCTAAATTTTAAAAAATTATTCAAAATAACTTTTTCTATTGGCTAATGTTATCAATTAGTTAAACTCACTAATTCAATCAGTTAAGTCATTTACCAAACAACTCATGGCCAATCATCCATGGGCATATCAATGGGATTTGTAATGAAAATTAAGCAAGAATTGGAGGAAGGTGTCATCCATAACCCAAACAACATGCAAGACGGACAAACGAAATAGGCAATTTATATGGTGCACCAGGGCGCGCATTGCATTGCGCACCCTGATGCAAAACGATGTCGTTTTACATAACTGTATAAAAAAATACACATAATGATATAAACAAATACACATAATTACGTAACTCCCTTTCGCACCTCCTAAAATAACGTCGTTTTGAGAGGCCGGGGCACACAGTGCTGCACATGCCGTGGGGCAGGGTATAACGATGGAACGAAATGATTCAATATATCAAAGACCATAAAAGTGTTTTCTACACAAGGAGGAAACCATAGAAAACTAGAAATGCTAATAAGCTTAAAACTAAAAAACAGGGAAAAAGTTTTGGGTTTCACTTTCAAACTGGGTATATCTATCCACTAAACCACATTCCATACCATCTGTACACACCCCAGAATGTGTTGTAACAGTCAAACCTCTTTCCATCTTCTTCTTCTTCTTCAGTTCTTCTCCAGTCAGATCCAAAAGCCAGAACCACTCCTCCCCTCTAGGCCACCGTAGTCATCATATGTACACCAGTACCATCGCCTAATCTGCATCTGCTAACTACGTATTCACATTATATACCTGCTTGCCTGAGATAATTACGAGAGGTAGAAAGAACCCTGCCCCTCGGTTATGGCATATAACAGCTTCTCTTTCATTATCTCCTGCAATATCAAAAAAATTCAGTCATTCCATTACACTTTCAGTTTGTGTGGTGGCAGAAGAGAGAATTAAGAGTAGCGTAAGAAATGAAATCAACTTTAGTAGTGTAAGGTGGCAGCTTCAGATAATTGGCGCATGTCATCACGCTAGGGAGGTCATCATCGGCCCATTTGCTGCACTTCTGTCCAATCATAGAACAACACGTAAGCTTAAGAAACGAGAGAAGAGATGGAAAAGTAGCGTGTTCATATAGACACCTTTCGAACAATTGTTAACTTGGGGTTGAGAGATGCCAAGCCGCCCGGAGGCAGCCTAGGTGCTCCAGTCACAAACTGTAGGAAAGCTCTCTGCTTTTCAATATTGAATTCTTGTATGATTTCCAATAACTGCAAATTTTACGAAAGCAGGTCATTGTGCTATGATGACAAAGTTTATTGTCAAAATATGATATGATCGAAACAAGGGAGCTCAATTTTACTTACATTCATAGCAGGAGAGCTGCTGGCAGTGTATCCATGATCAAATTTGATATGATCAACAAGCTCGTTCGACTGTCAAAGAAGAATAATTGCACATTTCACAAAACAGTCATGTGCCTTGTGACACTCAGAATTGCAGCAAAATAATGGGGTGGAATGGGTTTGATATATACTTACATTCCAAATTTCACGTTCTCCGCACAGTAAACGCTCTAGTTCCTCTTCACTGAATATTTGAAGATGCTTGATAGGGAAAACCTGAAAGAGCCAACAAAATTGTCAACAGTTCAATTTCAGATTTGTTGGAATTGAAGTGACACAATAGTACAGAATACAGAAGACCAAAGGATGTTTTCAAAAAACTTGCAAAAACAAATGGAATGGTCCAATTCTAGATTGCCTTCATTATGAATTACAAAATCAGACAATTTCGGAAGCAAGAAATATAGCACTCATGTTCCATATGAACAATTGTATCCATAAAGAAATTGGTAACTAATGTATAGCAAAAACAAAGGTCTAAACGTCAAGGTTCAGGAACATGTGATATAAGTGCTCACCTGATCAAAACCAGACTTGAAAGATTCCACCTGTCTGGAAACTCCAGAACCTATGCTGGCATTCACGATGAGCGAAACATACTCCTCTAAGTAGGACAAATCCACCTAGAGACGCAACGTAAAGTATTAGAGACACATTTTAAATTGTTCAAATTCCCACAAATTACACAAGCAGTCACTTCACAAAATGCTAACCGTTTCTGAATCAGGAGTAGAAGTGAGGATGTAGTCTGGATAGCCAGGAAGAGAGAAGTCAAGGCAAAGATCCTCAATTTTGGTATTCCGGAAGTATAGTTCAGGCATTAGAGTTGATTTTCTCTCACGTAGAGATTCTACATGTTTTTTTCTCTCAACAAGAGCATGAAATTCCAGAAGAGTCCTTCCTAATTCAGGGTCAAACGACTGGATATCATATATACTGAGCTCCTGCAGATCAGTGGTAAAAAGTAAGTCACATATAGTTAGTAAAAACAATATAGTATAGATACATGCACGAATGGCAGAAGGAAACTCAGGAAATAAGAGATCATACCTTCCCAAGAATAAGTTTGTAAAATGCTTTGGAAAAAGGAAGATCCAGAACCCTGCCATCTTGAAGAGATTTTGCGACAATTTGGCCCAGAAGGACAAACTTTTTAAGCACTTCAGAAAACTCAATTTTACCCAAGGCACTCACAGATTGTGACCATGGGCGAGGGAATAGGCCAAAAGCAAACGAAAGACTTCCATGGGCATCATCCACTAAACTAATGTTGCCACTTGACATACAGTCACCTCTCCACATACCAAGACCACTTTTTTGAAACTCATGACTGACCAATGTATAAAATTCCAAGGTTGGACCAAGACCAGTACCCACCTCTTCGCTGTATTCCACCTCAATTACAACCTTTTGGCTAGCATAGAGGTCCATCATCTGGGAAGCAGAATCCAGAATCTTGTCTCGGTGAACCAAAAACCTTTTACGTGGGAAACCTCCATTGGGTGGCTGCCTACGATTCAGGCCTCCACTATTATTAGATGGTAATTGAGGTTGCTGAACTGGCTGGTTACCCAATATTGCCAGACGGAAATACTTACATCTTGCCTCAAAACCAAACAAAAAGGGACATGAATCCATTAATTGGGTACACCAATAAGGCATGCCACCAACAGATACAGCAAAAGGATCCCGCATTTGCTGTTCTAGTTTGTCAGTTAATTTGTTGTTCACAAATTCAGCTTGAGGGACAAAAAAGTAATCAAACTTCAAACTATCCAGGTCATTGGTCCTCTCTTCTGCAAAAGCATATACTCGTTCACGAGATATTAGATGAAATCTGAACCTGTTCATCTGTTCCAAACTTCTAAGGAGAGACAAAATATCATAAGTTGGATTGGATCTATCTATATCAACCACTGCCGAGGCAAAGGTGTTAGAGAAAAATGGAGTGTATTGTTGCCATGGTGTATGCTTGTCATGTAAAGCTGAATGATGAGTCTCGTGATTACACTTCTGGGCACAACTTTGTTTTCCCCTCACAGATGACTTGTATGTTATTCTGTGGACTTGATTCCAAACCTTTGCATTAGTAATTGCATCATTTTCTGCTTCAATTTGCTGCTGAAGTATAGCTTGATATAACGTTAAGGTATTGTTTAGTTTCTTCCCTTCCAAGTAGAATAACAATTTCATTGACGAGCCTTCCTCATTACTGCATTGAGGACACTCCGTAATGATACTATTTTCTTCAGACAGACGCAACTGTCTCTGCCCCAAAGACTCCTTCAACATAATAACAATCAAAATAGTGTCAAGAAAATAACGGTACATATGTTATGAATAGTCTAATATTCAAAAGAGTGAACTGCATAAAAAAATTACAAAACTTAAACAGCATGGAACACCACAAACTTAATCGACAGTTTATTGCACATCCCATACCATAAACAATTGAAACTAAACATTAACTCAAACAAAGATTCAATGTGCAAAGCAATCAACTGACCATATGAACATCAGTTATATCCATTGGTTCAGTATTGGCCTGCTCTGTATTTGCTATTTCCACTGGGGCAGATGAAGCTATGTCATGGCCCTCTCTCTAGAGAAGAAAAGGGAAAGAAAAAGGAAATGAGAGAAGCTCATTCAGTTGTAGACAATTTCTCTACAGAAATGAAACATAGTCGGCTCAATGAAAATGTTGTTTCAAAGGCTTGACCTAAGCAATCATAAGGATAAAATTAGTTGAAAGAGTTACAATACCTTGGGAAGCTGAACTTGATTCACATCAAAACGTATGCTGTCTAATTCTATAGCATCTGGAGTTTGTACTTGCGAAGGGCTCAGATCAGGTGACACCTGTGAGGCTGATCCTTCCTCCTCCATAGCTTGAGAGGGTGATTTTGAACGCTGAGTTTTTTTATTTCTCACTTTTGGGCTAAGGTATCCTTCAATTGTGTCCAAAGATGAAAACGGATCAACATTCACAACATCCTTCAAATAATCACACAGGTCTGTCTCCCCCTCTCCTTTGACAAACTGAACTTTAAGACATGGGTATGAGGTACAACGTCCATATGGTACAGTAGCATATGAGTTCCGCAGCCTGGAAGTGTGGCTTGAGATAACAGGGAAATTTTCCACCGATGACAGTGCACTTTGCAATTGATGTATTAGAGATAGAAAAGGTAAGTCCTCAAATGATGGGTCTGAGGAAGACAAAAGTAATCTTCCGAACACTTCAAATCTCTTCTCAATACTATACTGCCAGAAAAGTGCACCGACGTTTTCAGTCTTGCCAATAAGATATTGACCATTAGATAAATAATTAACTACAGATTTCACTATTCCACTCTCAATAAACTCAAAAGTGGAAATGGGGTTTTTCCCATTCAGCTGTGACATGATCTGATGCAGCAAACCATAAAAGTCTGATTCATGTTGAGAATAAGAATCGTCAACATCATTCAAATATTTATTGACCAGATCTGTCAATGCAGAGGATAAAGTTCTCAGCTTCTGAAGAACGTCAGTTAATCCTTTCTCAGGATTCATTAATTCTGCAGCAAAGTAATTCATCTTAATATGCTGTGCAAGATTCTGAACAGTCTCTCTCTCAAGCTTGCAACTCCCAGATTCAGAATTTGTCGAAGACTGGCCAACACCAAAAGCAAAACATAAGCATCTCTGCGCACCTCTTGCTGCTGATGTCTTACTTGACTCGCTTGACAATTGAACACCATTGGACACTGGAAACATAAACTGTGAACTTTTTTCTGGAGAAAGTAGTGCATCAACAGCAAAAACAACACCTTCCTTGACAAAGGGGTTTAAGAAAACATCTGAGAGCTTCTGCAGAAGTGTATCAACAATCTGAAGAGCTAGCATCAGTACATGATGATCTTTGCGAGTGAACACCCCAGCCAAAAAGCTGTAAGACAATAGAAAAGCAATTTCAATTTTTCCAGTGAACAACAAATTAACTATTAGCTTAAAACCAGGAAAATGTAAAGGAAACCCTCTTGTACCTTGCAAGATTGGTTCCTTGTAGCAATTCAACAAGCATGTCCGAATTACTGAAATACACTAACTTGTTGATAATGGAGAGACAGCCATAACAAACATATAAATTTGCACCAGAATTAACCACCTACTTGACAAAAATAATGTTAAAACATACTTAACCAAAATGGTGAGATAATAAATTAGGCACTGCATTTGACAATCCCACCTGAAGGAGAACAGGAAGTAAATCAATGCCAAATTTTTGCAAAAGGTCAGGGCGGTTCATGAGAAAAGATTCCTTCTCAGTGGCTGGTTGGATTTCCTGTTCTTTGGCTATTGGAGGGAGGAGCTCATGTAATAACTTTAGAACTTCATGTACCTGTGAAACAGGAATTAAATGTTAAAACCTTAGTTCTTTAAAACTAGTAACAAAACCTTTTAGAATACAGGCCAGAGCAAAATCATAGGCACAAAAGAAATGCCATAAACTTGCAGAGATTAGAATTGCAGTACATGAGAATGCAACGTTTGAGATACAGTGGGAAAGATTCAAATGTGGAGTCAAAACAAATATAGAGCATATAAGGAGCTGTATTAAGAAATGCAAAGCCAAATCCAATAGTGTTACTGTAACCTGAAATCATATCTAGAGACTAGAAGTTGCAAGTCACAAAATCACAAATACAAAAGCTCAGCATTGACTATCTGACTTGGTGACTAAAAAGGAGTTACGAGACTACACAGTTAAGAGTCGCATTATACCAAAAAAACCTGTATTTCTAGAAATCATCAATTGCAACAAATCTAACTATTGTGTGTAAACCACCGATTTCAGTGGATAGGCCATTTGACTCACAAAAGACTATATACACCTTATTTCACAAAAGCACAAATCACAGATATGTAAAACCATCAAATTTCAGTGAATTTTACCATTGACTTCAGCAATTAATAGGCTGTTATGAACAACATTGGAACAGCACTTTCAAAGAGCATTAAATGTTGAGTGTGTTGTTTCCCTCATTGTGCTTTTTTTTTTAGAGACTATCGTGTGGAGTATTACAAGCTATACAACACATGTAGTCTTGCATAAGTTAAAACAACCAACGGTGTCTGATGGAAGGATGCTTAAGCCTACCTCACCCACTCATATAGGAGAGCTTAGCAAGTAAAAAACAGTAGTTGATAAAAAACATATCACGGGAAAACAATATGCCATCAGTGACAGACCTGATTATGTTGCCCATCAACCACAGCAGTTGAAGGCATTCCATGAGAGAGGTCGTGAATGGACAAAATATTACATACTATGCTGCTTATATTAAGATCAAAGAGAGTCTTAACAGCCACAATAGAACCAGAAGCCATTTTAACAAGTAACCCTATTAAGCCCTGCCAACCAAAAAAGTCAGATATAAACTTATCAATTAAAGTCTGGAACTCAAGTATTTAAGATCAGAAACCACAAAAATAAGCATCAGCTCACAATGTAAACCGGTTGGCATAAAGTAGTTCGGCTATTCAAGTCTATCAGATGTGTGGCCTGTAGAACTAGTCCATGTTTACAAAGCTCCTCAAGCATATCAGAAGAGTGGCAAACTTGTTCCACAATCTTGATCAAGCAACTAGCCACACTTTCAACAAGCTGAATTGCAGGGGAAATAATTTTTGGATAAAAAAATTAGTTGAGGAAAAAAAATTATTATGAAAAGGATTAGTTCAATAGGCTCAAGCATATGTATACCTGTTTATCTTCGTATTGAAGCAGATTACACAATATTGGAACTGCCTCCATGAAAGGTGAGGGATTTTCTGAGGGAAGCTTTTTACAAATATTTAGAACTGTTGAAAGCGCAACCCTCTAAAGCACATAAAGAACAAAGAAGGAAACAGAAAAAATATCAGTACTTAGCTTCACAAGCTCACATGCATTACAGAGTATTAATAATGGGTGAATTTCTAGTTTGATGTGTAACTACCTGAACACTTGTTGAAAAGAAATCAATGTAGTTTAAAACAGCCATTATTGCCCCTGATTGCAAACAAGCAAGTGGCTGCTCCTGTGAAATTTTCTCCATTGCTTGCAAGCACTACATTTGAAAGAGAATTCATATCACTCAGAACAGATAATATAACATAACAATCACAGAGCTTGAGCGAACAAACTATTGCACAGAGAACAAAACAGATATAACAACTCTTTTCAATAAATAGTGAATGCATTTCAACATACTTGTTCAGCCACATCTAAGTACTCAATGGCCATCAATCTTTGACAAAGAGCAGGGACAGCATCATGCCTAACGAGAAACCCAGAAGACCGAGGATGAACATCACACAAGTAAGTCAGTGCTCTGATTGCTAACAGCATTATATCGGGATTGCTCTCATGCCTGGCCAATCTAACTAAGACAGGAGAGAACGAATCTGCCATTAAGCTTGAAAGGGAACTATCAGTACAAAAAGATAGCAATTCACATAGCTCAGTAAGAGCAGCCAATTGCCCTGATTCTTCACTCTCATCAGTCAAGCTCGTCAATACATTCCTGAATTTGCTTTGATCACCCAATGATCTCCGTCTATAATAGTCCCTGTAGCTGTTGTCAGAGTCGCAAGATCCATAGGAGTCCCGTTCCCCTTCTCCATCTGATCGAGTTGATCCCGAAGTTGATGATGATGTGTCCATGTCACCGTCATGGCCTTCTTGGGGGGTTTGAACTGATGAGTTCGATGAGCTTGCCCTGAACTCTAATGAACTACAGGCTCTCTTATCAGCCGGAAGCTCATCAGCCTTATCTGGTCTCTTCTGGCCTCGATTTTCCATTGATCACTCCCTTCTACACTCTCCTATATACATTAAAACACTTCAAATTACAATATTGAATTACCAGAACAAAAATAAAACTTTTTACAAACATGATCACATCCATAGTTAAAATCACGGTCAAGTATTTATCATTCTGAAGAAGACCCAAAAAACCAACAAATATCTTCACAGTTTAACTTGCAATTTGTTATACAAATTAAAAAGGGGGAAATTGAAACGAGATGACGCAAAATGAGTGCAGATTTTAGCGAAACTGTACTGCTATCAAAGAGCAAAAATCCAGAAAAACCCCCAAAAATCACTTGAGAAACAGACAAATTACTCTCAACAAAAGGAGATAACATCAAACAGAGCAACAACACGAGTCCGTTCATATTCCTTTCTCCCCCAACCAAAAAAACCAAGTAATCCAACCACTGCTGAATTCTATGCACCATCTATCAACATCAAAGAGATACAAATAGAAGAAATGAAAAAGCTCAACTGTCAGGGAACCTAATGGCGGTGATGATGATGCTTACTCGATCACCACTGAAAATTTTTTGGGTCTTTCCAAGTTTTAATCTTTTTTCCCTTATTTTATAATTCGTTCCGTATTTTCACGTTATCATACACAGAAAAGAGAAAAATAAAGGTTCATGCCTGTTCTATACACGGCAAGAGATGATGATGATGATGATGGTGGGGGAGGAGCAGAGTCGCCGTGGGGGTGGAGGTTTGAGTGTGAATGTAGAGAAAAAAAAAAGGGTTAATAAATTACAAAGAAAAAAGAAGTTGTAAATGGCTTAGGTTTCTATCTTCTTGGGTTGGGTCTATGGAGATGCTGATATAGGACTACAGGAGGAGAGTCATCAACATTGATGCACCTTCTTTTATCAATCGATGGATTTAGGCTTCTGACACGTCATCAATCATAGTATAAACGGTGGACCAAATTGCATTCCCATCCAATTAGAACTACTTTGTGTGATATAAATTACAACACCAAGAGTTCAAACTCATGTGTATATCTTAACAAATTTTAAAACGTTAGTTTTTGAATGAAGTTTGATTGAGTCGAATTAGGGTTGCAAATAAGTTGAGTCGTTCTCGAGTTATATATATGTGTTCACGTTACGCTTGCATATAAAATTAAGGAGTTACAATATAATTAATGGAATCTCAAATTCAATTCAAACTAATCGAATCAAACTCAAGTCTTATAAATTTGTAATCTTAGGCTGAATTAATCTTATTTCGCAAATGCAAATATAAATATAGTATGTAATAAAAGGAAAAATAACTTATGATCTAAATAAAATAAATTCAATTTTAATTGAATCACTTGATTTCAAATTAATTCATCAAACCTCAATGCAATTATATTTCATGAAATGAAATACTTATTGATCATCACTGATAGATGGAGTGTAGTGGACCGATCACTCTTTGACTGATCGGACCCTTCGTTTAACAACTAATCATAAATGATCGGACCCTTCGTTTAACAATTAATCATAAATATGGGATCTAGCCTGAGGCGCGTTAATAACAAATCTATAAAGTTATTGAGTTATATAGGCGCGGCAAGGGCCCAATGGCCCACAACCCACGACCCAACACAGGCAAGCATAGGCATATTGGGCCTATTCGTGGCATAATAGCACTGGGCTGCCTATTCATAATGTAACAAAGACTCCTATTACATAGCAACTTAGGAATTAGTTTTCTTTGAGGACCTTAAGTCTTCTTGTATAAATATTCACACCTAAAAGTTAAAACCAGTGTTGCAAAAATCGCGCCTAGGCGCGCCGATTAATCGGCGCCTAAGTGCTAGGCGGTAGGAGGCCGCCGCGAAGAATGGCCTCGGCGGCCTCCTCCGCGGCAGGCCGCCTAGCCGGCCGGACCGGTCGGTTCGGCGATTTTTTTTTTTTGAAAATGTCGGAAAACTTTCGGAAGGCATAACTTTTGACTCGGTTGTTCGATTTGGACAATTTTTTTTTCAAATCGCGTATTTTTTCGAGATCTATACACCGTAAAGTGCCGAAGGCGATTTGGTCCACTAATTTATCAAAAAAATGTTTCTTTAGCTCTTTAATTTTAGTTTTTTATGTATTTAGATGGTTTAAACTAAGAAATAACTATGGAAACCTTATATTTTAGTACTACATTTTGAAAATTTTTAATTTTAATTTAAAAAAAAAAAAAAAAATCGGCGCCTAGCGTTTTTTGCAACATTGGTTAAAACGGATGGAATTTTTCATAGTAAAGCGCTTATTATTTTTCTATATTCTTCCAACATTTTTTTTAAACAATAGTGTTGACTAGCTCGCTCACTCGCGGTCGACTATCCATTAATCATAAAATCAACAATCATAATTAAACAAATAATACAGTATTAAATATCAATATATTTCGTTTATGATGTTACATGTTTAATCTTTTTATGTATATAAAATGACATTTGAGTCAAAAGATGATTTTATATTGATAGTCCTAGTAAGAGTTTGATACTTTTGGGTTGGATTGTGATTGTAATCACACTAAACATGGATCGGATAAAATGGAATCAATGGTTTCATGCATGATCCTAACTACTCTCCTAAGAAATCTTTGGTTGTTTGGTAACTGATTATGCAACTTTTAGTTAATTGGGGAGGAGTGTTACCATTACAACTCTAATTTTTGTCTAATATTATTTTTAGAAGTTAAAAGGCATAATAAAACACTAAAAATCATAGTTTTTTTTAAGGTAAGCAGCAAACAAATAAATAAATAAATAAAGAAACTTAGCCACCCAGCCTAAATGTGTAAAAGTAATATATTAGTCCGGGAGGATGATAATTGGACAAAGATCAATAAACATTGTGGATCTTGCTTCACGTTATGTACATACAGTTTACATATTATATATTTTCAGGTAATTGATCATGTACATTAAGTTATAACTATAACTGAATGTACATGATTTGTTAACAGAAATGACATAATATGTTAACTACATGTCTAAATATACATAATCTAGAACATTGTTCACATTGCACATGGTAGACTTTGGTCTATGATATAATTTGTGATCAAGTGGATGTAACATGATTTTTGTACCTGAAAAATATGAATTTGATTATTGCAAATACCTCGATTAAATCTATTATATAATGTCTTTTTAGTGTGATTTACCTCTAACTTGTGGAGTTTACCCAATATATATTCTTAAATAATAGTGACGGGTTTCCTCATCATGAAAAATAAAGAAAAAGTAATGTATTAAATTTGTTAAGTGTTTGATACGTATAGGAATTGTATCTATTTATACGGTCCATTTTGTTTGCTTGTAAAGATACACAAGTACCTTAAACTTGGAGTAGCCCTTGATTTACATTTTGTATTATAGTATGTGTGGAATATTCATTTAAAATCTTGCAACCATTGGCTTTTGATTCGAGAGCTAGGTTGTATTTTGGGTGTACTAACTAAGGTTAAGGTATGCCATTTTATTTAATTGGGTTAGGACTTAGGATAAGGGTTTATAACCCCCAAACAATTGATAATATAATTTACCATTTCATTTAATTGGAAAGAGTAAAATTGACAAACTTAATATTTCGTAATTGGTTATTATAAATGAATATAATTGGTTTTTAGGCTCGATGTACCGATATGTTCGTATATTAATGATAACTTTTAAAAATTATAAATTTAATTAATTTTTCATAACTTATTTATAGTTTTTTCTCTAAAAATTAAAATAAAATCTTCTTACTCAAATTATCATCGGATTAATGCTGAGTCCATTAGATTGAATTGACAGTATCATTTTATACTCTTCTTGTTTGTTATCTTTTTTATTTTTTTATTGTAGTTAGTTCGTTACCTTGAGTTTTAATTAATTAAATTTTTAATAATCCGTACTTATTAAATTGTACACTTTTACTTAAAGAGTTGTTGATTAAAAAAAATGAATTGTTATTAGATTGTATATTGTATATAAAGAGCTTTGTAATATTCATTATATGAAATAAGAAAAGAAGATTAGTTGATCATACCATTGTGCTCGTTAAATGTGAATTATTCTACAACATATTGTGTGCAAAAAAAGAGTAGTAATGCTATGTTCTATTTATAGATGTACTTCGTAACCTTATCTCCAGACGTGACATTAATTGAATAGCTAATCAACATAAAGAATTTTATTGTCTCGTAGGATGTGAAGATTATGAGAGAAATTTAAAGTGAGAAAACAACATTTTTCAATTAGAAATTAAAGGTTACCAAGTTGTGTATGTATTATTATTGTTGTTGTTGTTGTTGTTGTATGTTGCGCACAACTGGAGTTCATAGATAACTTTTTCAACATTTTAAATTTCAATTTTGAAGAACTGGTACTTTAGCAAGGGTATCAACCACAATGTTTTATTTTAAGTGTGAGTTATTCTAAGTTCCCACTAACGCTTCACTTCCCTCTTGTACATATCGATTACATTAACAATCAGGTCTTGTAGTTACAACTATATTCATTATAAATTACATTTAACAACCACCAATGAGTCACAACCACCATGTCTCTCATCGTTTATCATGCATGGAGGCGTCAGTCACGGGTGCTGGAAATGGATCAGATGGAAGCCTCCTCAACACAGTTGAATGATATTGAATACAGATGGTGCGCTAAAAACTATTACGGGTTTGGCTAGCGCCGGGGGTCTCATTAGAGATGACCATGGACGTTGGGTCATGGGTTTTGCTACAAAAGTGGGCTTTACAGACAGCTTCTCAGCGGAGCTGTGGGGCCTAAGGGAGGGTGTACGGCTCTATCTGAGAGAAGGGATCGACAAAGTTTGGGTGGAAATGTATTCAGCAGCAGTTGTGGCCACGATGAATAGGTAGACTTGTTTGGAAGAGACTGTCGTAACACTTGTTAAAGATTGTCTTGATCTTCTCAGAAAATTCAACACGGTCAAAATTTCTCACATCATGAGAGAGGGAAATCAGTGTGCAGATTGGCTTGCAAACTATGGACACGAGATTGACTGGGAACCACCACTCTGGACTCTCCCCCGGTGGAGCTTAATTTCTTACTTGAAGCAGATGCGCTTAGTAGACCGGTCCTAAGAATTCGCTAGCACCTTCTTATGAATGTTTCAATTGTACACAAAATAAAAAATAAAAAAATGAGTCACAGTCCACCAAGACAAGCCTAAAACCCCTTTTGGCATCTCCCACACTCTTTGGAGCCCCTTTAGTATGGCCAAAACTTTTGTTTCTTCCACCAAACACTACACAATACAAACTGTTTATCCCACGTCTATCTATCTTCCTTGTCTCGAATTCCTCCACCTCATGCCCTTTTTCATATTGAATCTCAAACTTATTTACTCAATTACTCTACACGAAAAAAAATAATATTACATTTTCCTTATAAATTTACTTCATTACATTTAGCTTTTACATGTAACACTATTAAAAAATCAATAAACACAGGGTGAACATTTTAAAAAGTATATAAAATAAGAAAATAACTTTTTTTTTTCATTCATAAAGTTATTAATTTTTGTTAATGATACGAGAAATTCACAGCATAATATGAAAGTGTGCATTTGATAAATTTGATATCGTAATCTTAATAGTATTTGATAAAATAATTATATGAAATTGTCCATAACTTCTCAACTCAAATCCATAAAACGAATAGGTAATAGAAAGTTGACAAATTTCATCTAAAAATTGCACCCCCAAAAAAGATGGAGTATCATTTTTAGTCTACTTCTTGAAATAGTTGCCTTGTGTCAACCCATTCCCAAACTTATATCACACATTGTTTACAGGCTTACAGCCTTGGAGAAGGCCGGCTATGAATCTTGCAGACAGATATATACGGTGAAGGATTTGGATTTCCAGTGCAGTGGTGTAAAAGGAAGACGTGGCACAGTGCTGAGATCTGCTTTGGAAAACAATCATAGAATTATGAACTTTTATCATGCCAAAACGTTGGCGGATGCAGATTCTTTGGATGCGATGACAAAGGAAAACATGAAAGTAAGTTTCTGATTATCCGCAAGAATCCTCCCTCCTTCCTTTGATGAGGGATTCGTCATTTCAATCTGGATTCGCTAACCCTATCACCATGCGATATACTCCTGGATTCTCCGTGTTCATCCTCTCCCTCGTATTCCTCATCCTCTCATTCATGCTCCTCCCTTTCCGCCCTTTTCTATTTCTTCACCACCTAGAGAGCGCTCAGAATCAAACCCTATTGCAATCTGAATCAAAAGCACAATTTTCGGAGGGTTTCCACCATAATCTTGGTCAAAAGCAGGAATCCTCACCGAGAAATTATATCGTTCGGTTCAATAGATATTTGAAATCGGAATATCACCGGACGTATCTGGAAGATAATGTGGAATTGGTAGGTTGGGCATGGATAGAAAGGAAAAATCCGGCATCTCGGTTTCCAACGGACTTTGCACTGGTGGCAATTGAAGAATCAATGACAGAAGTTTTAATTGAGAAGTTCACAAATTTGAAGGTTGTGAAAGATGTTTCATTAGATTTGAGCTATCAAAGAGGAGTTCTTGGGAAGCAGAATGACAGGGTTGGGGCTTTTTTTGATGGGAAGAAGAGGCCAGGCAAGATTTTCACTGCAATGTCTTTCTCTGAAGGAGAGAGAAATGCTGTGTCAAACACAAGTAACATGAAAATTAGCTGGAATAGGGAGCTTTTGATGCAGGCAAGTTGGTGATGTGTTTTCTACTTATTTATTTTTCTCTATTTTTGAAAGATGAGATGCTAAATAAAAATTGTTCCTTTTGCAGAAGTCTCAAGTTACCTCCATGTTTAGTGCAGAAGCACTTTGGTCGAAAGGATATACTGGTGCTAAAGTAAAAATGGCTATATTTGATACAGGAATTCGATCTGATCATCCACATTTTCGCAATATCAAGGTACTGTATATCTTCTTGAGAAATGATATTAAAGCATGCTTTACTTAAACTTCATGTACGGCGAGCCATATCTAGCTTCTCCCATAATATTCATTGGGGTTATTATTTACTGATTTGATTACACAGGAGCGCACAAATTGGACCAATGAAGATACACTTAACGACAATCTAGGACATGGGACATTTGTAGCAGGAGTTATTGCTGGACAAGATTCAGAGTGTCTTGGTTTTGCCCCAGACACTGAGATATATGCTTTTCGAGTTTTTACTGATGCACAGGTAATGGATACTTCACTTTTAAAATTTACAGAGGATCTAATCCCAGTAACTATTTGTCTAGGAAGATAGTTTTACGTGTTTACCCCAATTTTGTTTTTAATAGGAGAATGCAATAAGTCTTTATCAATTTATTTCCAGAATTTCTCAATTTCATGGTTGAGCTAACTATCCAGAAAATGACATATATATGTGGACACAAAGTTTGTCGTTTTGAAAAAATTCTTCTCCCTCTGAGGCTCTGAGATTGTATACTTTATTCTAGTTTTACTGGTGATTTTTGGAGATTGACAGCAAAAGGTTTCTGACTCTGGTGACAGTAAAGGTTTAAGCAGAAACAGTAGAGGTTATTTTATTTTATAGTTTTCAACATGTGGCTAGGTCAATAGTTGATCGGTCAAGTCATAAATAGATACTTTGGATGGAGTGTTTATGGAAGTTAATGTTAGACTAAATTGGCTACAATTGACCAAAGTAGTTATTGTAATCTTGACAAGGAAAAAAATATCGGGCAAAAGTGACTGAATGGATATAACATAAGGGTCAAATTGATATTTTAGACCATAGTAATCCCTAAAAGGAAATTTACTGCAATCCTATGCCGGTGAAAGGCTGGTAATGAGTGTGTAGAGTGATGAAGAAAAATGTCTACTGCATAAATTTTAAACCAACTGCTATTGCGTTTTTGTCTAAATGGTTTTATTGTTTTTCTTATTTATGATCTGTAATTTAGCAACCATATGAGAAATTTGCCCTCAGTTCATTGCAGGTGTCATATACTTCATGGTTTCTTGATGCATTTAACTATGCAATTGCAACCAACATGGATGTGCTGAACTTGAGCATAGGTGGACCTGATTATATGGATCTTCCGTTTGTGGAGAAGGTGAGATTGTTAGGTTTTATTTTTGTAACAAGTTTTTCACTAACAATTGGGTCATTCATGAGGCTTGACATTATATGTTGCTCTGTATTCTTCATGCCTTCTCATTAGCTTTGGTTTCTTTGTGTGTGTGTGTGTGTGTGTGTGTGTTTTTTTTTTTTTTTTTTTTTTTTTTGGGGGGGGTGGGGGTGGGGGGGGGGAGTAAATTTCCATTATAACAAGGAATTACTGCCTTTTGTTTCATGTTTTATTTTCATTAGCTCAAATTATTATGTTTATAAGTCTAAATGGATTATAAATTGATGCATGGAAAAATATAAGTCTAGTCCTGATGTTGAATGCTAGTATTTTGTTGTAAGTGCATACCAAAAAGAACACATCATGGATGAGAAATATTCATTTATAGATTACCTACTTCCTCTGCTAGGTTTGGGAGATCACAGCAAATAATATTATCATGGTTTCGGCAATTGGGAATGATGGACCACTTTATGGAACTTTGAACAATCCAGCAGATCAAAGTGATGTTATTGGTGTTGGTGGCATTGATTACAATGATCATATAGCATCGTTTTCATCACGTGGCATGAGCACATGGGAGCTTCCTCATGGGTAGTGTATCCAAGTTTCCTTTTCTCGTGTTTCTTTCTTTCATTGTTGGAATTAAGTTACCTAAAGCATAACACACTCAATTTAATAATCTTTGAAGTGATATGTGAGTTTACTTAGTGATTACCCATGTCCACCTTAGAAGTCTGAGACATCAAGGGCTCTTGTTAATGGATTTCCCTTTCGTCCACCATCATGCTTATAACTCCCCTATGTGAAAGAGGAGGAGGGGGAGTGAAAGAGAAAAGTGTAGTGGAAGATAGATTTATAACTGCAAATATTTGCCTTGCAGGTATGGCCGCATAAAGCCTGATATTGTTGCTTATGGACGGGAGATTATGGGATCCAAGATTACCACAGGTTGCAAAAGCTTATCTGGTACTAGCGTTGCAAGTCCTGTAGTTGCTGGAACTGTATGCCTTCTTGTGAGTGTCATTCCTGAAAGCAAGCGAAAGGACATTCTAAATCCAGCCAGTGTGAAACAGGCACTGGTAGAGGGAGCCGCAAAGCTTTCCGGTCCTAACATGTATGAGCAGGGTGCAGGAAGGGTCAATTTGTGAGTTCTTGAACTTATCATGCAGTATGAAGATACTGAATGCACTTTATGTCTTATTATTTATATGTTAACTTGAATACTTATGACAGATTGGAGTCCTATGAGATTTTAAAGAACTATGAACCTCGAGCTAGCATCTTTCCTAGTGCTCTTGATTACAGTGATTGCCCTTATTCATGGCCATTTTGTGTTCAACCACTCTATGCTGGTGCCATGCCGGTTATTTTTAACGCTACCATTTTAAATGGAATGGGTGTAATTGGTTATGTTGAAAGCCCACCAACATGGCATCCCTCAGATGAGGATGGCAATCTTCTTAGTATACACTTCACTTATTCAGATGTTATTTGGCCATGGACGGGTTATCTTTCTCTGCACATGCAAATCAAGGAAGAGGGAGCTAAATTTTCAGGAGATATTGAAGGCAATGTAACTGTTAAGGTCCATAGCCCTCCAGCTCCAGGAGGAAAAACTCGCCGAAGTACTACCTGTATCCTTCAGTTGAAGCTGAAAGTAATTCCTACTCCACCAAGAGAAGTGCGTATTTTATGGGATCAATTTCATAGTATCAAGTACCCTCCTGGTTATATACCTAGAGACTCCTTAGATGTTAGGAATGACATTCTTGACTGGCATGGAGATCATCTTCATACAAATTTCCATATTATGTTTGACATGCTAAGGGATGCTGGATATTATGTTGAAACACTTGGATCCCCACTTACATGCTTTGATGCACGCCAATATGGGACGCTTCTCCTTGTGGATCTTGAGGATGAGTACTTTGCTGAAGAGATCAAGAAACTCAGGGATGATGTCATCAACTCCGGATTAAGTCTGGTTGTATTTGCTGACTGGTATAATGTGGACACAATGGTGAAGATGAGATTCTTTGATGATAACACAAGGAGTTGGTGGACACCTGTTACTGGAGGTGCAAATGTGCCGGCTTTAAATGATCTTTTGTCTCCGTTTGGGATTGCATTTGGAGATAAAATTCTTAACGGCGATTTTGTCATCAATGGTGAGCAGACTCGATATGCATCAGGAACTGACATTGTGAAGTTTCCTAGAGGTGGATATCTGCACAGCTTCCCTTTCCTCGATAGTTCAGAGAGTGGGGCCACTCAGAGTGGTCTGTCCTCTGGCATGACCAAGGTGAGCTACCTTAAAATGAAACACAGAAAGGAAAGAAAGATTGGGTGCTTTAGGATGTGCATGCAACCATGTAATTTGATGCTCCTCAAATCAATATATATATATATATATATATATATATATATATATATATATATATATTTTGTGAACTATTGATTGCTTTAGTTGCTGTTTCATATATAACCTTGCAGCATGTTTAATTTGATGCAGGCAGACACGCCGGTTCTTGGTCTTTTGGAGGTTGGTAGGGGCCGTATTGCAGTGTACGGAGACTCTAATTGTTTGGATAGCAGTCATATGGTTACCAACTGTTACGGGCTTTTGAAGAAAATAATAGATTTTACAAGCAGGAGTGTTAAAGATCCTGTACTTTTCTCTGATTCGGCTAGACAAGATAAGCCATTACATATAGACAAGAAGCAATTACCTTCCCGAAGAACAGACGTGAATTTCTCTACCTATTCTGCTGTTGTCGGAAAGGAATTGATCTGCAGGCATGACTCTAGGTTCGAAGTATGGGAAACTAAAGGCTACAATTTACATGTCAGAGGAAGAAACCGCAGATTACCAGGGTACACCGTTATTGATTTGGGCACTGGCTTAAATTCTAGTGCAGAGAGCTCTTGGATAAAAATATCCAACACAACTAAGACGGACGTTGGTTATTCACAAAGAAAAAATGACCTCAACGGAGATGATGTAAGAATTTCTTGATACTCTTCTCACCCTTTATAGACGATATCGTTTTTTTTTTTTTTTTTTTTTTTTGAGTGACGAGAGAAACCCGCAGCTACTACCCCGAGGGAGGGTGTGCACTGAGTAAACTCAGCCTTGTGACCCTAGTCAACGAAGGACCACAAGGAGGTAAACAAGTCTAACCGGCTCAACTAAGAAGGCCAATAGGCTGTTCCCACTGGGAGTCAAACTTGAAACCTTGTGGTTACCAAGCTACAGTCTGACCAACTTGGGGCTACCCCGCTATTGTATTTATTGGCCATTGTTTAACAAGAGGCTTGTGTTTGATTCCACTTAACTCCCCCCTCCCTTGCAGGAAGATGTGCCTGTGCCTATCGCTACTCATTGGCTTTTACCTGCAGGTGTTGCCATTATTGGTAAGTTGGAAGAGCTGAATTTTTCACAGTATAACTTGTTATATTCTTTCCGTGATTCATTGCATCAAATACTTCTAACTTGCCCCATATTACCAGGGCTGTTGCTCCTTTTGAGCCTTTGGCGCTTCCGACAAAAGCGGCCTAGGCCGAGGAAAGCACCTGGTTCAGGCCGCAGCATCTATCCATAGACATTCATGTACCCGGTTTACATCAATCTGCAATTCTGCATGCTGAGTTCTTGTAATATTATTATGGGACAGGACCGAGGTTTTAGGTGCCACCCATCGTCACCACAGGCTGAGTTTTGTATTAGTAAAGATCCTCCAAAGAAATTTTGCCTAGTAGAAGTAGAAGATCCTTTCAGTAGCATCAGATTTCTAGATGTAAATTACTTGGCATTTGAGCTGAATAATTGCCTTTTGAGTAGAAAAAGTCTTTTTCTCATGAGCTGAATTGGTTGAGATCTTGATTCAATTGATTGGTGAGGAGTTTGTGTGATATTTTAATTTTATATTCGCGCATAATTTAATTTTAATTTATTTGTTATGAGAAAGTATGATAAATATGGTCAGACTAAAAAATCAAATCTGTTGGCACACTAATACATTAATGACTATAATAAATCATGAAATTCCTACTCTTACAATGGCTTAAAATTCAATAATACATTAGAGTTTACAACATGTGAGAACCTTATACATGATGCATTGCTAGTCCAATCAACGCAATCTCAGGGAGACCAAGAGTGTGATGCTGGACACCCAAAGTAGAGTCACCTTTACTCCATGCCTCGCATTGGTAGAGAAATATGTTGACCCTGTGAGTGCAGCAAACAGATACGAAACTATCAAACTCACACGTATTATGTACTATTATATGAGAAACCGCAGTTACTACTGGAGGATGTGCACTATGTAAACCCTGTGTTGTGACCTTAACTAGTAAAAGATCACCAGCCTAGGTTGTTCATAGCTGACTGACTCAAACCAAAAAGGCCAATAAGATACTTCCACTGGGAGTTGAACTTGTAACTTTATAGTTACCATGACAATACCAACTTGGTTGGGGACTTGGGGTTGGCCCTACTCTTATCTATTTTGAGCTTTAACCTACACATTTGAGGCAACACTATATGAAATCCCTCCAAATACAGTAAATTTAAGCAATTTTTTGCATGATTGGGCTCCATACACGCGATAAGATTACAAGGATGAATGTGACAAGGACATCATATCTGTCCTTCAATTATCAGTCTTCAATGAAAATCTATTCCATCACTACAAAAAAAAAAAGGGCAACATTGGGGTGGGGTGGGGTGGGGTGTGGGGGGGGGGGGGGGCTTGATAAGCATATATGTCCTTTCGTTAGAGAATATGATTCACTCCTTTCCCCCCAAATCCATTCTCCACCCCAAGGAGTGGGAAAGTGAAATTGTAAAGAATGACAGCAAGTGTTCACCTTCATGTGCTTGATAAGAGTAATGGACCAAATGCCAAAATAAGACAAGCCAAAATCGAAAAAGATAAAGACGAGGGAAAAATAATCAAATCCCACCTGTAAGACTCTTAGTAAGTGAATATTTCACGGCAAAGTCAAAGAACACTCAAAGAAAGACACATTTTTTTGCATGCTGAAAGCGCTGCCCCCATTGTTCATTCACGTGAACATATCTAATCAGTTATTACTTATTAGCAAAAAAATTTGGAAAAATGTTCTCCATGAATTATTGCACTTGAATGCATTTTGATATTCCTTCTGGAGCAAATAAAGTAAGATATTTCGAAAAGCCCCCCAACAAATTTAGGCTCTTTTAGCATTTTAAGATTAGTGGACAAAGTATTGTAGATGGATGTGGCCCAAAGTTTTCAAAATCGAGTGGAATTCACATGAAGCTGAAAATATTAGAATGGGGATCAAAGGAGAATCTCCTCTTAACACATTTAAGATCAAAATTTAGCCCAGAGATAAAGTATTCAAGTGCTTGTCGGAGATAAGTATGCATTAGCAAAAGAAAACCATGGTGTTATGGTCCTCTTATGGAGGCTCTTAGGTTTCCCTCTTTGATGGGCAAGCTATAGTAAGATGTATTTATGAAGTAACACCATAACTCATCTAAAGTAGTCCCGAATTGGTTGTCACATTTGCTTTTTGCACGCTTTTTAAGGAATTAAAGTAAATGCTCTGTTTTCCAATTATGCCCCTCAGTTTTGGAAATAAAAGCAATAAAGAAAGCAAAACTCATGAGGGTAAATTGGGAAAAATAGAATGATGGTGATGTTCAATTTTGGAAAGAGGACAACATTTTGGGACAAACTAAAAAAGAAAGTAAGACACGTAAAATGGGACGGAGGAAGTATAAGAAATGTTGTGTTTCACAAAGTAACCAAACTAAAAGTGCAGAAACGTATGAAAATGTGGCAATACCTGTGAGTTAGGATTAGGCACTGCATCTCTAGAAGAGCCATCTGAAGCCTTTGCTGATCCCTTTGTATCACCCTACCAAATAAAGTAGTTGTTCTTAATGCTAAAAAAACCAAAGAACAAAACTGAGGTCTGAATTACTGTGAGAACTATGCAAAGCAATATTGACTTACCTCCATCTGGGAAAGTCATTGATCCAACAGAACCAAAGAGACATACAAAAACACAAATACATTAGTTTATAATCCATGGCATCATCCACACCAGATATCACCAACTTAATGTGCATAAACAAAGATAACTACCTCTCTATATCGAGTGAGATACACCTTGAGAGGATCGATATAATCCTCAAATCCTAAAGTTGCCATTGCCCAGAGAAGATCATCACCATTAACAGTTTTCCTTTTCTCCTTTTGGCATTTGTCGCTTGCCCTAAACAATTTGAACACAATAATAATCATGTAATCACAAAAAAATCCAAATAAGCATGAAGTTCATCCTTGTAACAAAAAATCATCAGTTTATCACAAATGGGGACGAAATACACACAAAAATTACCCTAATGGCGCAATTATACGATACTAATACAGACTGTATCAATACCCACCATTTAAGTAGGCATGAACTCCTAAAATTACACACTTTGAGCACATAAGGCTCCAAGAAGAATTATGAGAAGAAAAGATGAAGAAAAATATATTAGAAAATGATAACATTATTCTGGTCCTGTACTTCTCTGGTAGAGCTTGGGTATTTATACTAGCTAATACATATAATAACAACCATAAATATCATAGTAGACAAAATCATCTTTCATATCATCTAGATTTATTGGCCGCTAATCATGTTGTCCCAAAATCGGTGGTGTCATCCAAATTTGTTGGTACATCACTCTCCACTCCTTGAAAACATACACCTTGTCCTAAGGTGTGGTGTTGAGTACTACACCTAGATTTGCACAAGGGACCCCAAATAGCATTGTTAAGTGAGCTGTCATTTTACTATGCCAACGCCTATTCCTCCGCTTGTGTTTGCACTTCTAGAGTTGTAGATGAGGTACCATTTTTGTCGTAGTTGAAACAAAACCTCCTTTTGCTTCATTCCTGCATTAAATCTAGTGTGAATCACTTAAAGGGAAGATTAGTGTTGGTGGCTGTTAGCTTATGGTGCATGGTTGCGATAAGTGGTGGTAGAGTTGGAATAATTTTCACTGATTGTAGTGTTGGTTTCTTCCAAAATGTGGTATGTGGAGGTGCATATTTGTTCCATATCGTAGTAGGTGGTATTGATGGGGGGATCGTAGAATTAGGGGTGGGGTGATAATGGAAGTGGGCTTAGAGATGGATGGGGTAGAATATGTGGTGGTGTTAGCGATGGAGGGGGTGGGCTTTGGGTCTTATTTTAGTTGCATTCGATAACTTTCCTTGAAAATTCTTAAAATTTGACGGCCCAAAATAAAGCTTAGCTTTTTCTAAACAATTTGTCATGTCCAACAACCTATGCGTTCTCATCCATTGATACCACTTCAAAGCTTCACCTTCCATTGTGAAGGTGAAAGAGTTGCACCCTTTGAGAATCCAAGGCTTTGAAGAATTCATAATATTATTCTATTTGAAGAATTCAATGATGTAGATTTAGGTAATTCGGGACAAAGGTGGAAAGAAAGAAAGAAGTTTTTTTATTGAGTGACAATGTGACAGGACCAATGAAAGCACCAAATGATACAACTCTAATATGACCTGTATCGATAAACACTTTTTGAGTAGGTGCAGACTTCCAAAATAAAACACTTCAAGCTTGTCAGGGCTCTAAAAAGAATTATGAGAAGAAAAGATGAAGGAAAATATATTAGAAGATAATATTAATCTAGTCCTTCTCTAGTAAAGCTTGGGTATTTATACTAGCTAATACATATAATAACAACCATAAATATCATAGCAAATTAAGGTAAAATTATATTCTCCTTGATCATTAGAGTAGACAAAATCATCTTTCATATCCATATTTATTGGCCGCTAATCATGTTGTCCCAAAATTGGTGGAATTTCATTTAGATTTGTTGGTATATCACTCTCTACCCTTTGAAAAAAAAAATGTCCTTTAGGTGTGGTGTGAGTACTACACCTAGATTTGCACAAGGGACCCCCAATAGCATTGTTAGGTGAGGCGTCATTTAACTATGCTAATGCCTAGTCCTCCACTTTTTTTTGCACTTGTAGATGAGGTGCCAATTTTTGCCACAGTTGAAACACAACTTCCTTTTGATTCATTCTTGCATTAAATCCAATGTGAATCACTTAAAGGGAAGATTTGCATTGGTGGTTTTCAACATATAGTGTAGGGTTGCAATAGGTGGTGGTAGAGTTGGATGTAGTGTTGGTTTGTTCCAAAATGTGCAATGTGGAGGTGCGGCTTTGTTCCATATTGTAGTAGGTGGTATTGATGGAGGGATCATAGTATGTCGTAGTAATGAATGAGGTGAATTTAGTGGTGGCGGTGATAGCGGAGGTGGGCTTGGAGATAGTGGACGTAGAATAGGTGGGCTTTGGGTCGTTATTTTAGTCGCATTCAATAACTTTCCTTGAAAACTCTTAAAATGTAATAGCCCAAAAGTGAGGCTTGACTTTATTTTTAAAATATGTCCAAATGCCCAACAACCTATGTGTTTTCACCCACTAATGCCACTCAGAAGCTTCACCTTCCATTGTGAAGGCTAAGTTGCAACTTTTGAGAATCTAAAGCTCTAAAGACCTCATAATATTCTTCTATGTGAAAAAAAGAAACCAACCATGCAAATTTAGGTAATTTGGGAAATTGGCAGGAAGAAAGAGGGAAGATTTTTAGATTGAGTGACATGATTAATAAAAGCACCAAATGATAAGATCCTAATATGAGTCGTAATGATACATACCATTAGAGTATGGGAAAACTCCTAACATTAATGTGTGGTTCCAAGAAGAACTATGGGAAGAAAAGATGAAGGAACATATACTATAAGAGATTATGTTATTATGGTCCTTTACTTCTTTGGATATTTATACTAGCTACTACATTATTATACATATAATAACAACCATAGATATGATAGCAAAATAATATTCTCCTAGATCATAGGAGTAGATAAAATCATCTTTCATATCCAAATTTATTAGCCGCTAATCATGCTATCTCAGAATCGGTAGAATGTCATTCAAATTTTCTGGCGCAACTACGAGTAGAAAGCAACACAAAGTACAAACTCTAACACACTGGCAGCAAATTGAATTACCAAATACGCATAACCTTCAAACTAAAAAGCAAAGAAGAAAAGAGCTTTCGAGGGGAACCATACTCGCTGGTGACGAAGCTGATGAACTCAGAAACACATTCCTGAACAGTCTCCTTGGCATCCTTAGCAATCTTACCGCTCGCCGGAAGAGCCTTCTTCATGATCCGACTGATATTCGCGATCGGGAGAAACCTATCCTGCTCCCGAACATTCGACCTGGGGCCGGGGCTATGGTCCCCGCTGTCGTGGCTGCCACCGCCGGGACTCGCCGGATGCTGACCGTCCGCCATAACCGCCACCAAATGAACCCTATCTCCGCCATACGCAGAGACAAACAGTGAATGGACAGATAGATACAGAGTACTGTGTGTGTGTATAGGTAGAAGAAGTGAGATTCCGGAGGGAGAGAGGATAGTGAGAGACGGTTACCTGAGAAATTGAGAATTTGTATTTGGGCGCGAGGAGAATCGAGGAGAGGAGAGGAGATCGGACGCTGGAAAAGTGCGCAGAGAGGAGACGACTGAGATGGGAGTTTGGGGATGTGATTAGGTATATCAACACCGTTGGTTCTCTCTCTCTCATTTCCGGGTCGGTTTATTAAGGCTCCGTTTTTCAATACTTGACCACCCGCTTATGTGTCCACTGTTAACTGGATATGTTTTGACTCTTTGACTGAGATTCTTTCAAATTATTTATACTTTGGTCCCACAATTATTAAATACTTCTATTTTTAGATCTTAAATATGATCCTTTTCATATTTGGTACATAATTTTTATTTTTGCCACATTTAATCATTTCAACTAAATCTTTAGCATCCTCATCAATGATTTTTGGGAAGGTTTGTGCAGCTTTTAAGTCCATGTGAAGGAAAGAGAGACTTAGGGAGGCAACTTTTAAGTTTATGTGGAGGAAAGAGAGGTTTGGAGAGATAATGTTGAGCTTATACTGCAAGAAGTAATTTTTTTGTGAGTCCCGTAAGAGAAAGAAACAAGACTAGGTGCAGTGCTGCATGTTTGGAGCACAAATACTGCCCAGCTGGGCACATACAGTGCACGCGCCAACCCGTTAACTGTTTTTTTTTTTTTGTTTTTTGTTTTTTGTTTTTTGTTTTTGCGATAGATTTACTTTTTCTATTTTTTCATCTTTTTCCTTATTCTCTTTCACTTCTCTCTCACATAGTTGACACCTAAAAAATCTCAAAAAAATCATATCTATTGAGATGCTCTTTAGAAAATAACGAGTCACATTTCTAGCTTAATTAATTAAAATAGTAACAAGTTTCCTGGTCACTCCAAAAGAAAAACAAACACACTTAGAAGTCCAAATGTAGAAGTCATTTATGGTCCGTTTGGAAAGCAGTAAAATATTTTCTGAAAAATAATTTATTTTTAGGAAAATATTTTTCTTTTTCGTGTTTGGCTGCACAGTAGAAATCTGTCTTTGTACGTTTGGTTCATCTTTTGAAAAATGAGGTAGAACTGTACAATTAAACATTTTATATAAATAATTATTTTGTTTAAAATAAAAAAATATTTATAATAATATTTATTTTTTAAAAATCAAATAATATTAATTATTAAAAAAAAAAAATAGGTGGAAACCTCTCTCTGGTTTCCCTCGCTTGAAACCAGAGAGAAGTTTTATCTCGTTTCTCTTGTTTTTTTAAAAGGTTTTTGGCGGAGTCGAAAACATTGTTGTATGTTTGGTGGAAAAATGACTTGGACCAAAATTTGGTGGAAGTCATTTTCCGCCAAATTTATTCGATTTTTCCATCGGATTAACTCAAAAAATAATTTTCAAAAATCATTTGCTGAATTTCCAAACACACCCCTAGTCATGCCACCAAAAGTGAATAATTCTATTACTTTTGACTTTTGATCCTCGAATTCAAAATCGATCAAATATGTGCCACAATCTAAGAACAAAGTTAACTCTTCCTGTTAAGTCGAGGATTCGATGAGGACATCAACAGATATTCTCCATTAAAATCTCATCATGTCAAGTAAGATGTTAGCTTGACGGGGAGAAGAGTAGCATAACAATGGAGTCAAATATATACTCAGAAAAGGATTAACAATTCTGCTAATTTGCAGGCAAAAAGAATTGGGCAAGAATGCAAAAGATCAAGAAACCGAAACCGAAAAGCAATGTATGAACAAGATCCAACCTACTGATTGATATATATACGAAACAAAGATCTAACGAGCAGTTGGGCGAGCGATGGAGTCATCGATGGAGAGGTAATGCTCGCTCGTGCCGAGATCAATGGAGCCCAGGTTCAGGGATGAATGCACAGAATGCTTAGATATATCATCCGAACTCCCTTCCCTTACCACTTCTGCTCCTCGTTCAATGGCGAGGGCGTCCTGGATTTCCTTGATAACTTCCGAGATGGAGGGCCTCATGCTCCCGTGGGGCTGCACGCACATCAAGGCTTTCTCGGCTATCTTCCACATGGATTGGATGTCGTACTCGTTTCGCAGGGCGGGGTCGATGATGCCTTGAATATCCCCGCTCTCGATGTGCAGTTTTGCCTGGATCCATGCAAGCAAGCGTGCAATTATCAGAACGAACGAACGAACCGTTCAGATTTCAAGTATCCCGAGTTTTATATCAATATCCTTACCCATTGGACTATGTTGCGGCAGTTAACACCGAACTTCTCGTTGGAGATCGCTTCTTGACCGGATATTAGCTCCAGGAGAATGACTCCGAAACTGTAGACGTCGCTTTTGTCTGTCAACTGCTGCGATATATAGTACCTGCAGAAGATAATATTTCTTAATATGTTGTCGTATACTGTCATATAGAAAAGAGAATACAAAGCCCTATAAATAGGTGCTAGAAGACTACGAATAGGCAAGGTTGAAAAAATCGCTAGGCGCCTGGGGACCGCCTAGAGCGATTAATCGGCGCCCCGCCTAGGTGGCCAACCGCCTAGCGCCTAGGTCCGATTTTTGCAACACTGCGAATAGGAAACAAGTTTCCATATGCCTACCTATAGAGATTCCATATATCAAATATATATTCCATAACAGCATTTAAAATTACAAATGGTTGCCAGGTTAGCCTTCGATGAGAATAATTGTCGTGATTCGTGAAGGAAAATGCTTACTCGGGATCCAGGTACCCTACAGTTCCCCGGACTATGCTCGAAACGTGAGAATTACCATCTACTGCAATCTTCGAGAGACCAAAATCCGAAACTTTTGCTCTCATGTTCGTGTCAAGAAGAATATTGCTGGTTTTCAGATCTCTGTGGATGATGGACGGGACGCATCCAGTATGAAGGTACTCAATCCCTGAAAAAAACAAAAAAAACGATTATTTACATCGATCAAGAAACGAGATTCTCTCGCAAATCCCCACGCACTAATTGATTTCTACATTACCGACCTTTTGCAGAATCTTCAGCAATCTCTAAACGCTTGATCCAGTTGATACTTCGATCACGTATTTGAGGGCCTACCATTATGTAATGTGAAATATAATTAAAAAATAAAACCAGAAACCGGTCATAAGGCCAAAGTTGTGAGCCCGACTTACCATAAAGATGCTCCTTAAGTGTCCCGCTATGCATGAACTCATAAACAAGAACACTTTTCCCGTCTTCCTGGCAATATCCAAGAAACTGTACAAGATTTCTGTGATGTATCCTAGAAAGAAGAGACACCTGTGTAATAAAAACACAAAATTTACAAGAATTGGTACCTAAAAAGGTAATAAGAAATACAAAGAATGAATATGCAGGTGGAGACTTCGTTCAATCCCCAGTAAAGGAACGCACATAACAACTTACCTCGTTCGAAAACTCTCGCTTTCCCTGAAAAGAATTATTTGTAAGAACTTTGACCGCAATTTCCCTTCCATCTTTCAATTTTCCATAGTATACGACCCCAAAGCCTCCTGAGCCGACCTTTTTCTCGAAATTCCTAGTGGCCTCTTCGATCTCAGATAATGTAAAGCAATGTGCTGCTTCTGCTGCTGTGCCATCCAAGGTAGAGACAGGTCTTTGAGGAGGTAAAACTTGTTCAAATTTGCCTGAAAATTGTCATAGAGAATGCAAATGTTGTCTCCACCGAGGTTTTAAACAGACGATAAAAGCGAGGAAATGCTTCGGCTTTTTCTGACCTTGATTAGGGCGGCTTTTCTTTCCCTTCTTTATTAATATGCAAGAAGCGATTGTAGCAATAAGAAGAACAGCAGCACCAACTGATGACCCGATAATTATTTTCTTCCGACTGCTTTCACTGCTCCCTTTACGGAGATTAATATTTCCCGTATAGCTGGAGAACAAGGACAGATTTAGAGATTCATCGCACAATCGGTAAAAAAGATGAAAACTACATGCATAATCTGGTTCATTCTTAACCACCATAATATTTACATGCATAGTCGTAGGTTTTGGTCAGGCCATGAGGTGTCCTGAGCAGGTCCTAACTGTAGGAGGCACCTTTAAGCCCGTACCATACTCAGACTAATCCCCATTCGCACCGGGCCGGCCCAATTAAGGAGCAAAGTGCTGGCCAGATTGGTTTTTCTATACGAGAGGGGGTTCGAACTCCCGACCTTTCTTAAGGGATGAGAGTGCACGGCCACTCACACCAACCAAGCTGGTTATGCATGGTCGTAGGTGGCTTCAATCAATCATATATAGCAACCAAAATAGTACAAAGTGACATGAAACGATACCCACTTGAAATTCAGATCCTTATCGAGGAGAGCAGATGGTATGTCCCCAGATAACATGTTGTTCTGCACGTACCTGCAACCAGCGGATTCAATAAAAAGTGAGTGCCAAAGAAGTTCAAAGTGCTTAGGAAATCTTATCATAGAAGATAATTTACTCGAGGATGAACCCAAGCACAATGAAGGCGTTGCTATTATTCTTATGGTCTATGGAGTATAAAGGTAATGCATAAGACATACAGGTCTCTTAAATTCGGAAGGTTTGCTATAGAGGAAGGCAGCTCTCCAGTCAACTGATTGTTCTCGAGATGTCTGCAGGGGAAAGAATTATAGGTTAGCCAAGTTTACGGGACTATCAAAATATCAAATAAAGAAAATGCTTTACATTATCTGCAAGTTTGGGCACCCGCTAAAATCAGGTAATGGACCGGTCAGTGAATTCCCATCAAGCCATCTGCATTAAAAATAAAACCAAACAATGATTATAAAGTATCGAAAGTGAAGGGCAAAAAGTGTATAAGGAAATGATACTTACAGTTCAGTTAAACTGCTCAGCCTTGTAAACTCTGATGGAATATCTCCAGTCAGATTTTTACCAGACAATTTTCTGCAAAAATGCCAGTTGCAAGACTATTATCACCAAGCCCGTAAAAGTAGAAAAGAAACACCGAGAAGAAAAGAAGGATATAGGTTTAAATGTAACTTGCATTGATGTAATCCTTGGGCGGGGACTCGAGTCGCATTGGACCCATGACCATGGAACTGGCAAGCATGGATCGCCACCCTCTTGAGCCCACGGTAATGATGCATAACGTGAAATCAGACCAGTAATTACGGGTCCTGTAACTCATGGAAGCCAACAACCAC